AAGTATCAGTTACAAAAATTCAGCAACAAAAAATAAATCCACAAAAAGCACCTTCAAATGTGCTATTTTTTAAATATTTTATTTAAATCTGTCACGGAAGTTTAACTCCTTTTCGCATTTCTTGAAAGCCCCATTATTTGTGACATAAGACAACCTTCTTGCGGCTCACCATCGCTTGTCTGACTCCGGTAGTTGTCTTGAAAGCGAAATTTCCTATCTTACAAAATAACTAAAATTATACTTTTCAGACGAAATTATCTATGGTGCAATTATTTTCGATTCTGTGTTTGCATGTGAATCGGCTCCGAGGATTCTTTAGTACTGTCTAGCATTTAGCTTGATTGTTTCATAGGCAAGAGCTCTAATGAAATACAATCCATGCTTTATCCACAATCTGTCACTACCTTATATTTCTCTATTGATTTGACCAAGCCAACTCTCAACTGCTGCGTGTTTTATTACCAGCTAGAAGAAAATGAGACTAATGTAAACCCACATTTATCTGGCGCTTCTCTGCCATAAGCCGTCTAGATCACCATATCAATATATAAACTTTCCTACTGCCTTAGCAACAGGAAGTGATTTAAGCGTGATAATCATTTAATGTTATTTCCATGACAGATATTGCGCTTGTAACGATATTTTTATGCTTTCTTTCATACGTTGAGATAATTTATTCTTTCACGACCCAAGACAAAACCTCATGGGATCGTAGAAATGTAAGAGGCTTCTAGTACAAAACATTATGATTGGTTGAAATCTTTAAATATACTATAAAATAAATTTAAAAATCAAAACTTTTTACAGGTTTGATTGTTCAGGTTCTTGCAATATCAGTTAAAATAGGCTAAACACGCTTGTATTTTTGACTAATCACTTATTCATAAGACTAAATAGTCGTACGCAATTTAAATTCGCCCAACTCTTTAAAGTATCATGTCTCGTGAACGCCATTTTAATCGTCCTACTAATTTCTGTGACTAGCTGAACATCTTTCATTAACTGTCCATTCCATACCGTTAAGTTTGTATGTGTATATAGCTTTTTAGTCGCTTTTATATTTAGTTAATAGCTTTAAGAAGACATTTTCTATCGTAATCTTTTTGCTGTATGTTATTTTGTATTTTATTCGATATTATCCCAATTTGGCGTTGATCTAGCATACGATTTATGTCGCATACTTTCAAGCATATCGAGTTTCTATCAGATCGCTGACTTCTAATTCTATATATTTTATGCTACACAGCTTTTGCAAAACGACATTCTAATTGACCGAAAGATGATGATTCTTCTGTCATACACATTCACCTGATGTGAATCAACCCCCAAGTCATGAGACATTCTCCATAACCACAATTCACTACCTTTTAGTATCGATTTTAAAAACGAGTATTTTCACAGCTTTTGCATGGATTCTGACTGAAATAGTTTTTCTGCAACGTTCACGACAGCTCTGCTTTTTAATCATTTTAATATGGTGACAATTCGTCAATTCTTCTCGGTGTTGCATAAAAGAATGCAATTTACCAACGTGAGGAGAGAAATTTAACTGAATTAGCTCTGTCTTTTCCTTATTCGAGATGATACCAAATGATTGCAGCATATGAAATGTATTCACCCTATTTCGGTCAAGGTGATGCAGCACTGGTAGTCGAATTTTCCCACAACGATATGAGTAGACCTGACGTTTTCATTCACTTTCACATAGCCCTGTTTGCCCAAAAGTTCTTCTCATCCCAGCTAGAGTGGACTGTCCTTGGGTCACAGGGCAGATGTGACTTTCGCTGCAGCATCACTTATTGCTCGTAACTAGTCTTCTTTCTACTGAATCACTACTCATACATGTAGATTAATGGTAACTAGATCGATCGGTATGTGTTTCATAAGAACTACAATTGAATTTTTTGATAAGCCCATCATAAAGCCCATCTGCTTCTACTTCTTCTTCTACCCATTCTACAGAAAATTGTGTGAATTCGGAGAAAACTCATTAAAGTATATGTGGTGTATTCACATTTGCTTTAGAAAGAGGTGAACTAAATTCATAAAATTATGATTTGATCAGATTTAAACAAGAGACATTTTTGCTTGGCCTAAGCTTCTGCATTCACCGAACCAAATGGATAAGGTTTTAACCACCTGAAAAGGAATTTATTGAAATTAAACATCAGAAAAAAATTCGCACTACTTGCTATGGCCTGAGTAGTCTAGGTTCAAGTAAAAAAACCTGATATGCTGCTACTAAAACTAACTGTTGAAGGTGAGTGAAGTGAAAGAAACCAAGGTTTTCAAGAATATTCCATTGGGCTGTACAATTTCCTACAAGAGGAGCTAATACTTTTTGAATATTAATGACTGCATGCCACGTCACTGGTAAATTTAACAAATTATTATTCCTCCACAATGATAAATAGTTGCTAAAGGTCATTGAAAAAAAATTGAGAAATGCTTAAGTGCAGTTGAAAATACGCGCTTGAGTTTATTGATACATCAAATGGACAAACTATTTTTCAGTCCGGGTAGGATTGTGTCGCTAAGCTGTCAACTTTTTTTGCAGACATCCGAAGTATTATGGAGAGTGTTTACTTTATGCCTTAAAAATATGAAATGCCCATTTCACAATTTATCATACAAACAGTAAAGTAAGGCTAAGAATGGCCGATTCTGGCCATTCCATACAGACAGGCTTGCGTGGCCAACGACTTACAAAATTGGGTATGATCTACTGGTAGTCTCGAAAGTGAAAAGTAATTACATTTAGTCGATTGTCATAGCAAATGCAAATATGCTTCATCAAAAATCCCACTATAAAATGTAAAATGCCAAGATGCATAGTCTTCCTTAAACTTTACGGTTCGAGTCCCGCGGGGGTGCTGATTGGGCAAATTGCAGTCCACTTTTTGGGAAAACAAGGCTATGGGAGATTCACTGAAAACACGAGACCTACTCATAGGATTGTGGGAAATTTCAACTAAAACACCTTAAATATATTTCTATCCATTGGTTGTCTTGAAAACCTACTGATAAACAAGAAATTATAGATACTTTGAGGCAGTTACCATGGTACTTTGAGACACATGACGCATTCTAGTGGCAAGGATGAAATACACCATAGAATTCACGCACTCTACTGCCCTGTACTCACACCAATAAGTTGTTGTACAAACACAATTTTTACCAACAAAATAGATCTACCTAAGCCGACATCTTTGATGAAGATGCATTTTTTTACACTACATACAAACAACAACACTACAACAAACAAACCTGACCTACGACGTGATAGACGGATGGGATTTTAAGACATGCTTCATGCGTTTCCGCTTGACACAAATGGGCGGATGTATCATCCGGATGTCGAGACTGCAGTACAGTTGGAATAATACGCCTTCTGGGCAGGAAAGCTTAGTGAAATGTAGTGGTACTGAGAGACCGTTTGTGCATTCTGTCTCTGGAATGTCAACTGTCACTCGTCGAACCACTATGAGTGATTCAGTGGCTAGCGTTCTTAAATAAAGAGTTCTGAACCGTCTTGAAACCTACTAACATTTTTTTACTCAACTTTCTGTATCATTCTGTCTGTTGCAGAGAGCACCCTGATATCGTAAACTTGAACTTGGGAGCACAGCAGACCGAATCCAGTCGCCGTATCTGTACAGACCTTCAGGCCAGCGCCAAGTCTTCCACGATTGAAAGATCTCTGGCTCCTGTTGACGACCCCTCGCTCGGTCAAATAAAACTGCCAGAAGAAATAGGTCTTTCGTCTGATCATGCAGCAAACACGACATTTTCCAATAATGATGACATCTCTTTTGATAAGACTGCTTTTGGAGAGGTTACCGAGCCGGATAACAAGATCGGCAATGAGGCATTTCGGATGGCTGACTTCGAAAACCATTCAAGTGTACCACAAAAGTCCGAGGATGATCAAGTGCATGACCGCAAAATGGGTGATTCTCCCAATGGGCCAACGGCAGTAACTAAATTGGCTGAAAGGAGGTCGTCTGCTTCCAAACCACTTCTGCCGTCAAACTTGTCAAGGAATTTGTTCAGCATGACTTCAGACGAAGGCAAAATCATGAGTCATGAGCCCTCGCAGACCAGCAGCAAGCAAAGTTTTTCCAATGAATCAGCTGGCCTAGAATTACAGTCGGTTGGCAAAATTTACCAATCTACACCTCAGATGGACATTTTGCGATCACGGTTAGTTGGTTATAGTCTCAACTAATTTTTTTAACTGCTAATTAAACCATGTCTAGAACCGATTGTGCGACATTTTGTAAGTTGTCGGTCTCTTTTCGTCGTATTCAGCTTGCCTGACCTTGTTTCGGCAACTTGGTCGTGTTGTCATGGAGATCTTCTTTGTTCTGTCTTAATCTTACTTGCATACTTCAGCCAAAGGTAGGAAGATCAAGATGCTATTGCTTTTTGTGTGGAT